GTCTAGAAAAGGCAAATCTATAGACAGAAAGGGAATTTGTGGATGCCAGGGGCTGGGGTTGGGGGATGGGGAGAATAGGGAGTAAATATTTATTCAATATCTGTAGTGATGAAAATGTTCTAAAATTTAGATCTTATGTGCTACAAACCTGTAAGTATGTGAAAAACTATTGAATTGTACCCTTTAAGTGGATGAATTAAATGGCACATAAACCACACCTCAAAAGAAAGTTGCTTTTGGCTGGAGAGATGACTCAGAGGTTAAGAGAGCATTTCTGCTTTTGCAGGAATCCCAGCTCTATTCTCAGCACCTATTTCTGGTGGCTCACGACTGCCTGTCACTCTGGCTCAATGGGATCTGATGCCTCTTGCATCCAAAAGCATCTGCGTGCAGATGATGCACATACTGCTCCCCATACACATAATTAAAAGCAGAGAAACCTTGTCTCAAAAAAAACAAATAAAATAAGTCTTAAAAAGTTGCTTTTTACAAAAACCTGCAATGTCCGATGGCTGTCACACACACACACAAAAGGGACAGTTACCTGTAAGATGAGGCTGGATAACTCCCTCTGCTTTTATACAATAAATATAATCAAAGAATGGACTAACATATTTTAATAGGATGGATGTTTTGATAATCAAATTGCATAGGAGCCACAATGCACAGTGGAAGATAAATAGAACCTCAACTTGGTTCTATGTCATCAGTGGTTGTCTTAATGTGATTGTATGTGTGCTCCCAAATGAACCTTCATCCAGTGCAGAAATGAAGACCATTCACTAATCTTATTTTACAATGATAAGAAGCTGCTAACATCAAAGAATAGAAACAGAAAAGAATAAATGAGCCAAGTAACCTTTGTGCTTGGGTTCCCACTGTTCAACCGAATGTGTCTTTCCCATGTGTGTGCCTCCATCTGGATTATAAACTGATTAAGTGCAGCCATTGTGTCTTGTATTTGCTCTGTTTCCCAAATATCTATGTTGGCTCTGGGTGGAGTACACAGAAGGCCACCAAGTCACACTGTCCATTTTGGGCTGGTTTGTTTCCTTCTAAGTAGGGTGAGGGGTGGAGGGCCTGGGTTAGGTGGGTAAGAGAATGTATACGTCCCAACTCTTCCCACTCAACCCTTCTACTTGGACAGATGGTATGTATGGCCTCTGGAGCTCCTCGGCCATGCATAAGGTTTAGTAAATTGTAGGATAGCAAAAAGTCCTGCCCTCTTCTGCTTTCAACAGTTTGTCTTTTGTTATTGATGATGAGAGGATGGTCTAATTTAAAGATGTATTAGGGGCTAAAGAAATGGATTAGTGGTTAAGAGTATTTGCTGTGCAGCCATGAGGACTGGAGTTTGGATCCTTGTACCTATGTAAAAAGCTGAACCTGCAGCACCAGTGCTGTGGGGATAGATGGAGGTAGGAGGATCAGATCAGTGGGACTCTGACTCTCTCTCTCTCTCTCTCTCTCTCTCTCTCTCTCTCTCTCTCTCTCTCTCTC